AAGGAAGAGTCACTCCTTTCATAAGGAATGATCGTTCCCTATTAGGAACGACTATTTCTTTGGTCTAGTCAAAATCATTTTGCAGTGGAGCTGACATAATAGTGCCAACTCAGTTACCACGTCAGGATTGTAAGAGAAGTTTATAAGAAAATGTTATAATCGTAGCATTACTCTTCTAAATGATATTTTCCCGACTATATATTTCTTATATATGTTTACAGTCCGTAATTGAAACACATTAATCCAACTGTCATATATTGTCCGCTTTGGGCCCTCCCGAGTCTTAACCTTCCTATTTCTCACGGTTTTACTTTTGGCTAAGCCCAAAATGCGTGTGACAGGTTGAGAAACCATAGGGTATTTAACTAGCTCAACCCTCTCCTTCCCAAGGGGTGAGATGTGAGATGTCACAGTAATAATCATTTAATGTGGCATTATTTCTATCATTTAATGTAAGGAGGACAACTAAATTAATTGAATTCATGACTCATGTATGAAAAGGAATATATCAAATATTTTTTAGGCACCAAAGAGTTTCTTCTTCATTCTTCTAGATCTTCTATGGTCAGTAAAACTATTTCTTCGGAAGAATAATTTGAACTAATATACTTAGCAGAAAATGAAGAGAAAACTACATTTAGACAAAATAAAATATGTTGTCAATTTTTATCTCTCATTCTCTCCAAGTTCATTTGTTAATTACTTAATTTTCTTTTGTCTCGTTTTTCTTCGGCATGTGTTTTCTGAAAATTCAACATGGAACAAAAGCAAAAGACTTCAACCAAGACTTGTATCACGAAATTCCAAAAAGATAACCATCACATTCACACCAATATCTTGGAAAACTGAACTTTTGTTTTTGTAACTAAATGAACTTTTCTTCGTGATAAGGATTTGGCTGAATCAGTCAAAATTAATTAAGACTATATTTTAGAAATTTGTTTAATATTAAATTAAAGCGATTGACAAGGTGGAAAGCTGGTGGAGAACAAGTTTAATACAAATTCAATTATTGAATTTAGCTTCATACATATATATAAATTTGAAATTTTCCAATGATGAGACTGAATAGAAGAACTCTTTTTAAGGTGGTGTCACGGGCCTAGAGTTTCAATGCGGCGGAACGTTTCCCAACATCATACATGACAGGTGGTAAGCCTACACGTATGCTATTTATCGATTCGAGGTCTATTCATCGAGGAAGCGGCTCTCGCTCTTGACTAGTTTGTGCAGAGATAGTCGAGTCTCTTCTTCATTGTCAACTATAAATGAACAACTTCTAACGGCTCCTGCACTACCCTTTCGGGGAGCACCTCTCTTCTAAAGAGTCTTATGAAACATTGCCAATGTGTCAAGAGGAAACACACTTGACGTCTCAACTGCCACATCTCATGTCAATGCTTCACAAAACCCCTCAACCTCGTATACTTCCACACTTGCTACTCTTGTTATAACATTACGGAATAAGGTCATGACACTCACCCATACTCATTTGTATGCATGCTCTCGCGTATATCATTCTTGCAAATGCTCGTTAGACAGTTATCAAAATTTTCGGCTCGTGACACAACCCGATAGCCTAAGGGACACTAATTACCTCTAGGGGGCGACTCTATGTCATGTCGAAACATTACAAACTCATTTAGAGCTAGTATTTTATAAGAATAACCACCATCAACACTTAAATACTCTTAATTAGTAAGAAGAGTAAGGTTGTGTTTCTTTTTTAAAATTTTAAGAATACTTAATGGGATATTGTTTCACCTAATACTTAAAAATTTTAAAAGATGCATTCTTTGTTAGTTAGTTTATTTTTTTATTTTTTTTTTATTTTTATTTTTTTTTAAATTAATGATATCTATATAAAACTTTCTAAATTTAATATTATTAATATATCCTCATATTAATTACATTAATTGTATACTGTAATTATACCCTTAAATTATAATTGATTATTAATTTCATTAAGATTAAATTTAGGTTATTATAATTAAAAATATAAAAATCTTAATTTAGAAAATGGTTAACAGGTCGTCGATTGCCCTATTCCAACGATCAGAATTTTTTTCTAGGCCGAACGACTTACACCTATCCAAGGTTTTCCGTAATGACAAATTGGTATCCAAAAGGTTTGGAAATGACAAACTGGTACTTTCCGTCATGTGCTGTTAGTGATTTCCGTTTGCAAAAGGATAATACAGTAATTTCATGTGCAATCACCAAACTTTATTTGAGAAATATTAGTCTATTTTTTAATTACTTTTAGACCTCTTAAGTTTATTAATTTCATCAAATACCCCCAGAAAAAAGTTTAAAAATTAACAAAAACACCCTTACCCACCCATACTTGCCAAATTGCGGCAACCACCGCCGGTGGTAGCCGGAATCTGTCACAACAATCTACATCACCACTGGAATGGCCGGTAATTCACCAATCTAGCCTTTTCCGGCCAGATCTGGCCGTCGTTGACGGTCAATGACGGCCAAATCTTGGCCATCATTGACAGACAACGACAACCACATCTTTGGCTAACGGCCAAAGATGGAGTTTTGCGGCCGTTGACGGCCAGATCTGGCCTTGCCATAGCGATGCCATACCAGCCATATCCGACCGGTATGTGTTGTTACGCAATTTTTCAGCTGGAATCTGGCACTGTCGGTGTGGGGGTGTTTTTGTCATTTTACAAAAATTTTATATATTGGGGTGTTTAGTTAAATTAGCAAACCTAGGGGGTTTTTTAAAATTTTTAAAAAACTAAAATACAAACTTTCAAGGGCATTCTACTCTTTTCACCATTAGCAAACGGAAATCATTAACAGCACATGACGGAAAGTACCAGTTTATTGTTTCCAAACCTTTTGGGTACCAATTTGTCATTACGGCAAACCTTGGGTAGGTGTAAGTCGTTTGGCCCTTTTTTCTATAAGTTTAAGATTTAATATTGGTATCAAAATGATCATATTTGAATTGAATGATCATATGATACTTGAAATATAATATGATCAAGACTTTGCATATGCAGAACTTTAGGTCTGTCGTGTTCATAACATCTTTAGATAATCCACTTCTAAACGTTTTCCTGAAAAATTGATAATTTTATACATTGTGACATTGTTAATGAACGAAATAGAGAAGCAACAGGAACAAAATAATAATAGTAAAACAAAACAAACAGTAAACAAAGAAAATTATATGCGCGATTTACCCTGGTTCACCCAATGTGAGCTACGTCCAGCTGAGTCAATATTATTGAAATATGCCTCACCTCTCTCGTTTACAATGAATGAATTGCTCTCACCTCATAACAAGAGAAAAGTATGTTTATATACTAGGTTTAAGAGATTAAACCTAGTTTTACATGGATTCCTATTCTTAAGCCCAACCCAAAAATGAATTAGTAACTTAAAAGAAATCCTACAGCGGTTATACATGGAAAAGCCCAAAATCGCCTACGAGCTCGGGGGCGCTGCCCTCGCGACCCCCGCTCGCTCACTGGGGAGCGGGGCACCCGCCCGCTAACCGGGTAACGGGACTCCCGAGTGCGTCTCCGTTACCCATTAATGCTGAAGTAGTCGACAACTCTAACAGTTAATTCAAAATTTACACATAGGTATTATTATATTCATAAATACGTTTCACAATCACAGGATATGTAATAATAACTCCAAATTAAAATTTTATACACCAGTCAAATATTATTTTATATCAAGTTGATATATATGGCAAAATTTAAAAGATTAAGCTTATTCTCCAATTGAAAATTAAGGAATGAATACAGTAAAAGCTACTAGAAACATTGAAATTCAAACATTTAAACTAATAACCACCATTAGCTGCTCTGATGGTAAAAGAACAAAAAGATATTTTATGAGCACTTGCATTCAAGTCCCCCTAAATATTAGCAGGGATGGCCGTTAGGACTCTTATCTAGTTGGTAATTCTGTAGCACGGAGAGATTAATTGAGATACGCACAAACTGGATTAGACACCTTCGATGATTTTAAAAAAAAAAAAAAAAAAATTAACCAGAAGACAACTTGTGTGGGAGAAAATTTCGTGATTGCCGGTTTATATAAGTAATCGAAAATCAACGTTTAACTTTAATCAGAGCTAGCTGTAATCAAATTGATAATACTGTTGTCAATCATCAACAATAAAGATTTACATAGAAGTCTGACTAAAAACCTCGTGTTTTGGGCTAGCTAGGACCACAAAAATAACTTCCGCCATGATTGTGATTTTCGTGGTGGAAAGCAGAGCAAAGAACTTAAATATTATCTTCTTCTTTCAGCTAAAAGGTTTCTGGTTCCGGGTCTACTTGCCACACCACAGTTTTTCTTGTCTCATGGTGTAGACATATCATTATTATTCTACTGTTATTTCTTTATTTTCTTATCTTAATGTTCGAATAAGATATGTATAGAGTAATCTATTGGATGGTTTGGATGGCTGTTCAAATAGAGGGACCATCAATTGAGTCTTACATCTGAAGCTCGTACTTTTTACCCTTTCTGTGAAATCTCAATAAATTATGCTAGAAAATCAAACAACAAATTAATATACAATAATGGAGAACTTAGTTCAATTTTCAGCGTGGAAATGGAAAACGAAGTTCCTAGAATGCTTCTCCGCAAGAAACCGATCCTAGAAAGTTGAACCCGCCCCAGAATTTGTCAGCATCTTGTCATTGATTGCTCATTTTCTACTCTTGTGATTATTAATTAATTATTGATTATACATAGAAGAAAAAACAGGATCTGGTTTGTTTAAATTGTAAGTTTCCAGAAATTGATAGATATGTTTGAGTAATGAAAATATTTCTTCCAGAGTTGACCTGCAAATGCCTATGCCAGCATTAATTGGGTTTCCGGAAACTTGATGGTGCTGTTGCCAGTTGTTCTTGTTCTGTTTCCTCTGTTCTTCAGCCTTTCGTTAACCTAAATATGTTCACGTATTTTTAGAAGATTGTCATGCATAAACTCTAACTCGGATTGCGATATGTTGGTAACTTAATAAAAACTCTTGCTTCTTCTTAAAATATATACAAAGGGAGACATTCCCATATATACAAACTACTAAATCTGCAATAATATTGATCAGTAGTAACTTAACTAGGTGAATCAACTCTCTACCAACACTGGTCAGTCTCCCAGTTCCGACCAGAGTATCCTGAAAATCCGGAAACAGTAGTCAACGGTCTGTTTCTTCGGAAAAGTTTCTGATCATAGACCGCGCGTTTTTCAGGATCCGATAGAGTGCAGTAAGCGGCATGAATCTTGATGAAGGAGTCCGCCGATGAATCCTTACAATCAATTCTTGCAACATCGGGATGGAAAGTCCTGGCCAGTCGTCGATATGCGGTTTTAATCTCGTGATTAGATGCTCCCAAGGGTATTCCGAGAATCTCGTAAAATGAGGCAGCGCATGATGCCATGGGGTGAGGAGGACTCCGATATGTGGTCGTCTTGGACCTTGTATTTTCCGTTGAAGTGTATGAATAAGCAGTTGTTGTTGTTGTGGCGGCCGCGACGGTTGAATGAAATCTAACACGAGGCGATGTTGGAACGGTTGTTTTGGGTTTGACGCAGAGGATCGGGGTTGGGGAGGACAGAAATAGAGAAGAAGAAGAAGAGAGCATGGTTATGTGATTAGGAGATAGAGAGGTTCTGGTGTTGGATATATATAAACTGAGAGGAGTTAACGGTTTTAACTAGAGTTAAGCTCTTAAAGAGTTAAAAATGGAAGTCATTTGCTAACGTATAAGGCAAATTACATATATTAATATTGTTAGTACAGGTGGGAATATTGGTTGGAAATGTGTAGTATTTATTGATTCTTATTATAATAAAAAAAAAAGAAAAAAAAATGGAAGGCTTATCCAATCCGATGTAAGGGTGGGGTAGGATGATGAGTCAGATATTAGTTTATCCAGATTGTCTGAGATTAGTTTATCCAGATTGTCTGAGGTGTATTGTTGATATGGTTAACTTTATATGTTTTTTGTTTTTGTTTTTTTTTTGTTTTTTTGTTTTAATCAACGATCCAACTTGCATGCATCTTAACTAGTTTTCAGGACTCTAAAGTTAACAACAACCAGATAAATCTTCAGTGACTACTTTTATTAGAAACCGAACTCAAAATTTCTTGAATAATATACCAAGAGTCCTTCTTCAACCACTCAAACACCCAAGTTGGTTAACTTTGCATGTTCATTCTATAAGAAAATTAATATTGGGAATTCAAGTTGGAATATCACTTGTTCTCCAATTTAGCTGGGTGCAAGGGTCTCTGTCATTACAAGTCAGCTGGCCAAAATGAATGGATAAGAACAAAGGAAAGAAGGTTTCATGGTATACCCAAATTAAACGATGATTATCTATCCCTTCATCTCTGGACTATTATGATTATCTATCCCTTCATCTCTGGACTATTAGAAGTGGGCGGTTCAATAGCTTAATTAGCCTATAAAAATTTGAGATGAGCAAAAGGGAATGCGCAAAACATGTGTGTCAATATGAATAGACATGAGCACAACCCAAATTAAGAATTGGTGAATCCAGATTCTGGGAAATGATTGAAGTAACAGCTGGATGAAAGATAGATATACTGTACATAAATGCGGACGAGTCCAAGTGTGATATTTGATTACATAATTGAAAGTCATAATGTGCTGACGATTCCCAGTTGCAAGTTGAAGATGTAAGATAAATTTTCGAAATCGAAATTACAATCCATTATCAACAATAATCAATCAATCAAATTTCAGAATCTCAAAATTTACGTACAGGTTATAAAATATTGAATTAACAATTAAGGATTATAGACAAACTTGTTTATGCCGTGATAGTCGATTTTTGAAATTATGATAAAAACTATAGAGTGACATGTCTTCTTTCAATAACATGTAATGTATGACAACTTACGGATGGGTTGTTCTCGTGAGTTTGGAAAGGATATCTAGCTAATTTTAATATTGACGCATTAGGTCCTCGTATTAAAGGTTCAATTAACATTAAAACTCATTACAAACTCAATCCTACATTTATCATCAAAACAAATTATCAGAATGAAGTGTAACGGTCATTCTAGAATGATCACATTAAATTCATTAAGAATCTTATTAGACTATATATTTACTTAACTTTATTAAATTAAAATATAATTAATGTTAACTCGCAAAAGAGAAGGTGCATTGTCTTCAAGAAATACCTGCTTTTATTTATATTGGAAAATTATAATATATACTATATCCTACTACAAGCGAACAAGTTAAATATTTCCAATCTTTTCAACTCTCGCAGCTGTAGGAGGAGCCAAGAGCCAAATGACAACGTCCACTTAATAATTCAATGAATATAAATTAAAATAATAATATTTTGGAGAAGCCATTCATATTTCATACGACTTTTCATATTTAGTTAAAAGCCACAATTTTTTAGTTTCATTTATTTATTTATTACTATTATTTTTTTTTTTAAGTGAACCAGATGTCACTGATTCTAAGTAACAAGTTCTAAATATTTTTTAAGAGAACGAGTTAGGCAACTTCAATTCTACATGTTACTCAAATTAATATGAGGAACCAAAAGATGCGAATAGAGTATTTTTATACGGTACAAAAACAAAAAGGATTATTATAAATGTCCACATTTAAATAAATAAATAAATATATAACAATAACACAATTCAAAGTTCAAACACTATGATTTTCACTTGGTTATGGGCTTCAAGCTATCCACAATTAAAGTTTTAATTAGCCATAAATAGGTCCATCTGCCAAAAACTGAATGACTAATGAGATTCAACCAAACAATTATTAACAATTGACAAATCATTGGCTAGCCAACCTAACTCAACTTTGAATCTACCTGATACATACCCAATAATTAGCAAACAGTAATTTTTTTATTATTTTTTTTTTTTTGTAACAGGGGGTGTTTGGCTAGTTTGTGCACACATCAACTCGATTAATCTCCCGGGGCCCTAAACTTAAGAGCTGGATAAACCCTTCAGTGGTCACCTCTATTAGCAACTGAGAGGAATTAGACTAAAGACTTTTTTAATAATACACCTAAAAGTCTCTATCACCTTACTCGATCACCTAGGGGTGGTTAAACAACAAACTTCTAGTTTGATAGAAATTTCATTGAATTGATATCCCATGAGTTTTAAGTCCAAGATGTCTTAGTTCTTCAGTAATAGTGTCACACAAGAGTAGTTGTAGAGCGCTAGATTCTGAAAAAATTTCACAATTTTCCGTAGTCCAAGTCAGCCAGAAACTCTTAAGAGAGGCTCAACACATATCATGCATCACCCATGTTTTTAAACAACTTTCAACCTTATCAAAAAGTAATAAATAGAAAGAATCCATGTATACTTGAAGAGTTGCAGGTTCTGCATAAGGAATATGTAGTGGCATAGTGCTTGTATCTCTTGGAACACCTCTTTATCCATGTGAAATGAAACGATTGGTGAGTGGTTGAGGCAACGATGATCGATGGCCAATCGAAGTTTGGAATGATGGGGCTTTTGATGTATAGGTATCGGTGAATCTTATGGTGGTGTCAGGGAGTTATAACAGCATTGGAATTTGCTGGAATTAAGAAGGAAGGCCGACGGCTGCGTGAACAATAGGTGGACGGCGATCGATGACCAATCAAAGTTCGGAGATGGGGCTTTTGATGTAAAGGTGCCGGCAAATCTTATGGTGGTAAACGGCATCGAAATTTGCCAGAATCAAGAAGGAAGGTCGACGACTGCATGAACAATTGGTGGACGGCGATCGACGACCAATCAAAGTTTGAAAATGGCGCTTTTGATGTAAAGGTGCCAATAAATCTTATGGTGGTGTCAGGGAGTTCTCACCACATCGGAATTTGTCGGAATCAAGAAGGAAGGCCAACAGTTGCGTGAACAATAGGTGGACAGTGAGCGACGAAAGGCTAGACAGCAGCCACTGAAAATGGATGGGTTTCGTGGAGATGTTGCCAAGTCTTATGGTGGTTTAATCTCCCTTAAACAGTGCCAAAATCCAGCAGGATTGACTCGCACTATTCCGATGGTCCAATCGTGACTCAATCCAGTTTGATTAAGATTACCAGTTTTCAGGGGAAACCAAACCGGAGATGACGCTGGTTCCCAGTCGAACCTGTCTGACTGGCCGATCTGGTTTTCAGAACATTGCTACATATATTGGATATGAAAAAATGACCATAATATAGTGAAGGTACCCTTTCGACACTCGCACAAGTCAATTACAACTAGGGATGGGTGCGGTGTTTGGGTTTGTTTGCAAGAACTTCGACTCTTTGGGGACATATTATAATTTTTAAAAGATTACACAATTATTCATTAATCCTAATTAACCCCTAATCATTTTTAATTAAGCTTAATAAAAAACAAGGCTATTTAGTTAACATTTACAAACTATATAGCCTTTTAGTTAAATTTTAACTTCAAATGGCCTTTTAATAAAATCCCCCAAATAATGCTTTGGCATCTATTCACAACTTGGATTATTCATTAATCCTAATTAACCCCTAATCATGTTTAATTAAGCTTAATAAAAAACAAGGCTATTTAGTTAACATTTACAAACTATATAGCCTTTTAATTAAATTTTAACTTCAAATGGCCTTTTAATAAAATCCCCCAAATAATGCTTTGGCATCTATTCACAACTTGGATTATTCATTAATCCTAATTAACCCCTAATCATGTTTAATTAAGCTTAATAAAAAACAAGGCTATTTAGTTAACATTTACAAACTATATAGCCTTTTAATTAAATTTTAACTTCAAATGGCCTTTTAATAAAATCCCCCAAATAATGCTTTGGCATCTATTCACAACTTGGAACTTTTCCTTCTCTTCTCCTTTAAGTTTTTATTCTTTCCAGCCGAGGGAGTGGGTGATGTCTCCAGAGACTCCATAGTAACTTCTCTTGATTCTTTTATTTTGTTTTTCTCTATTCTTTTTGCATTCTCAGAACCTTCTAGGCTATTCTTTAGATGAATCTAAGGCGATTTTTGTTGACTTTCGAAGAAAACAAAATTGGGTTTTTCTTGAATACGGGTTTTGAGTTTGCCAAAGATAATTTTGGCATTCTTTTGAGTAGTTTTTTGGCGGATACTGGGTAGAAGATGGGATGAGTGTTTTTTTTTTTTTTTTAAGGACCTTTAGTATTTGGAAGGCTTTGGCTTTGGCTTTGGCGTTCATGCTTGGGATTTGTATTTCAAAGGAAACTTCACGAGGTGAAACTATATTGGTGAAATATGGGCGGATTTGCACTCATCTAAGGAAGCAAGATAGACGGGTTTTGGAGTTTTTCTTGTTTTTCTGGTGTTTGGATAGAACAAGGGTTGGGTTGTGTTGTTAGATAGGAGAGTTTTAGAAGAAATTGGTTTAGTTGTTTCGGAAGGGCAGTCTTTTGTTGGATTTGCTGCTGATTCCGTTGACTAAAATTCACTTGATTGTACAAAGCTTGCTGCCTTAAGAGGGTGTATGCAGAATGTTGTTGTTGTTGCTGCTGTTGAATTTGATTCAGCTGTGAGATTGAGGGGGATCGATTCAAGGTTTGTGGGATTTTAGTAATTCAACCTCTCATATTGCAAGTCATCGGTAGCAGATGATTGTCAGAGTCCCATGGTAGGCACCAAACTGTAGATACAAAAAATCTACTATTATAGAAATAGGGTTTGATCCTGTGAGATTGAGGCTACTGACAATCCGTTAGACCTACACACATGAAAGGACAAGCGTGAAGCTTATAGAAAACACTCGGGTGGTGTTTGCC